ACAAATCTAATAAACGGGCATACAATTAAGATCTATAGATATAAGAACAAAAAATAGGTTTAAAAGTGATTGCATTTAGGAGGTTTAGAATTATCTGTGATGGTGTGTAATTAGGGTTGTACGCGATGCATGCGTCATCACTTCCGTGTAGATGATATCTTGTCAGTGTTCGCGACGTACGTCCCACGCAACTGGTAGACATACGCAATCTGCTCGTGAATAACCGTGATCAAAACTTCGTGGGCAATCAGTTAACAATTGCAAACAACGCTTATAATTAGATCGCGAATTTTAGGCATTTAGAAGAATGTTGAACCGGAAATCTAATTATACATGAATGCGTACGATTTTTTAGTAGTAAGCTATCCTTCGTAGTTTCGGTGAGTTTAAGTTCGACTCGATTGCGCAACAAACGACGCGAAACTTGTGAGTCTTCCAATCGATCGTGTAACGACCCTCAATCCGGTTTCCGGTCGAAAGTTAATCATATTTCTAACAATAACGAATACGAGTGTAATTAAACTGTTCCGGTCAGGCTGCGGTTCATTTCATTAATAGTCATCCATTAACGGATTCGTTATTCAATATTCTCGCCAACTGGGACAACGGGCACGTTTCAAACGAGATACCTAAAACTTTTTACGTTTATCAGAGCAGAAAAGTCTGATCAATTATTTTTTTCACGTACATACGTGTAATTAATTGTAAACATAATAAATTGATAGAAGCAACAGTTTATTTCTTATATAAAATTCGGCGTCAGAATGTTAAGCAGTAAAATTTTCCTGCCCACTGGAAACAATAATGTGTATTGGGAAAATGCAAAGCGGAAGCTTTAATCTTCGGTCAGCGAATTCACCTCTGGGTATTGAAACGAATGATTCGATTTACATCCGGTTTTTGCGAGGTAATCGGTTAGTTTTCTGCTGTTTGCTGATTTATAAAATTTGTCCAAACGTTAATTGGAAAAATAAAACGCATTCTCGAACAGGATATTAGAGGTAATTTTGAGAGAAGAAGTAATGATAAAATTTGTCGATACAGGCATACCGAACATTATTTTCAATAACACTGGATAACTCGATTAACGAACAACCCGTGTCACCCTGATAATGGCAGCCTGTGTACAATGGGTAAAAGCGTGGATAACACGACTGTGTTTTCCAATTAGCTGTTTTTCCGTTATTCCGCAATTTGCGTTAATAAACATCCACGGTAATTTAGCAATTCCTTTAACACAAACAGTAGGAAGGATATCAATTAAATATAGCTCGTCGATTCTTTTTTCATCCGCTGTACTTTCTCTTTTCGTTTTACGTCCATGAATGCATGCGTGCAATACCCGCGAGCCGTTTGCACTCGTTTTAATTAACGCAATCGACCCGCGTATTTCAGTTCCGTAGAACCTGGGCCTTAACGAGTAGATTTATTCCATCCGTGACCGTCGTACAATTTAAAATACAAAACTCTTGCCGTATGTTAAAAAAAAATTGCATTTTTAATAGTCGAATGTAATAATGAAATTAAAACTGGGAATCGAATAACTGTCTGAGAAGTCGTCTAATTAAGGTTCGCTCTGTGATTTATTTAATCGGTCACGGAAATCGTGTGAGCTTATCGATCAGATTCTTCAATACGAGTTTAATGTCCTGGAAGGAAGGAATCGAATTCCTTTTACCTCGTGTTCATCATAAATTATTCTATCCTTTCATAAGGCCAGACTCTGAGTTCTTATCAAAACCTCAGGAATTTATGTCAGTTCCGGTTTTCAAAAGCTTTGAGAAATGGACTCGCATGATTGATATTATATTACAATTATAATTTATAAATTGTCGATTATTCTCTTACCTTCTGGAGAAACGGTTGAGCAGTTTGCCAAGACTTCTAAAGTAACGCGGCGCGGTAACGTAAACGTAGACCAGCTGATCGTCGTAGCCAAAAACGGGTCGGTGACGATTCCTGCTCTGATTGTAGAGATCGGCAGTGGCAGTGCCTAGGGTAGCGTTCAGCAGCGTCCCCCACCTTATCTAACCCAGGAACGAAGCAAATCATTTTTCTCCTTCTCCGTTAAACGTAAATCCGATCGCGGACACTCACATAACCGAAGCTGTCCTGTAGATAGGACATGTTGAAGGGTACGTACACCCTCTGGTCCACGTCCACCCAATTGTACAGGTCCTTATGCTTTGGATATATCTACGTGGTCAAATAAAAGGTTTGTGGACAGTACGAGGCAGAGTACACCTCCATTCGTAACTTTTAAAACTCTATCAAAATTATTTATTAAAAATTTCATCGCAGACTGTCACGTATCATAACAGAATCAAATGAAACTGCAATCGTGCGATAAATTATATGTCAAATCATACGACAAATCATGAATGAAATTGCATCTACTTTAAACGAAAGAATAGAACAGAGAACAAGAAGCATTGAAAATCAATACGAGAAATCTTGCTATAAGTATTCATTGAAACATCACAAAATTTTATATGCTCGCTCTGAGAACATCTTATCTGAATACACGTGTAATAAGAATGGGAGTGTACAAAGGGGAGTGAGGGGTAAAATTCTGGCTTACCTTGTTGAGTGACAAACAGAATTGCAGTAGGAGGTCGGTCTCCGAGGCGCGATCCTTAGGGTCCATCGCTTCTGGTAAAAAGCCCTCGACGATCTTCTGAATCCTTCGTGACCTCTGCTCCTCCATCTTGTTCTGAAAGCAACCCCAAGACGATATTCGATTAAATCAGTCGTGCGTGTGAAATCTACTCGACGCCACGAAAACCTCCTGTTAAAGCAATATTCAATAATTGTAGACAGATTTTCAATAATATACGAAAGTAGTTTATGTTTTTGTGTAAGAGTGAACAAGAGTTCTTTGTAAAAATGGAATCACGACTCGTTGCAGGTTTTAGCAAAGACTGGTATTATCTTAGTGTAAATAATTTTAAAGAATCAGTAGACTCTTTTGGGAGACAAAAAGAAAACAAAATCGATTGAGTGTCGATAAGGTCATTTAATAGCGAGGTCTCCCTATCTTTGGCACAGTTTCGCGGGGGCGTCAGAACTTCTCCACTGTAGCCCGCCCGCGGGAATTCGCGCCATCGCCGGAAAGAACTCGGTCCGAATGCTCGTGTATGCGCGACTATCGAACAGCTTTTTTCTTCGCGGCCCTCTCGCCCTTTTCTGCTTGCGAGGCAACTTTCCACACGCGTCTCCCTTAGGAACGGAAACAGAGATACCTTCCGGTATTTCTAGAATTTCGACAGAGGACATTCTGCCGAGTATTTCATAATTTATTTGAAAACTACGGCGTACCACGTTTTAAAATGTGTCTCGGAAAATTCTTGTTTTATACAACGATCGCATGGATATTTGATACTTTATTAGAATTTTGATTTTGTATGGTCTACATGATGCGTCTGGTCCCGGGACGGAAATAGTTTCCATTTCAATTTCCCTTCAGACGAGAGTAGATTTCACACCGGATATAACTACCAAATTTCACCCGTCGTTCCATTATTTTCAATGTTTCGCCAGAATACGTCGCACACACATTTTGACTAATAAATAGAAACTGCTGGAATTGCCTTTGCAAACGTAGATCAAGTTTATGCTCTTCTCTCTAATAAAATGTCACGGTCAAATCTCATATCGTTGGTGCAGCTTGGTGACTGAATAATCAGATTTGTGCACACAGTTCGATTTTCAGTTCAGGATTTGTGAAACGTGAACGTGAAATTCATCGTCAATCTCTTTACTGATCGATTCTGGAATGGCTGAAATTCTCTGACGAATCTCGATTTGAACGAATGGAGTAAACCATCTATTTTTGAATGGGAGTAAGCAGTTATTTCTCAAGCTGTTCTCTAAATGAAGTCGCGAGGGAGGAAGCTCGTCAGGTCGAAAGGTATGGTAACTAAAGCAATATCCGTGGGGTTCGTGTTTTATTCGCGGCGACCAGAGAATTGGGAAGCGCCGCGAAACGAGAAGAGAGTGCGGCAGGGAAAATTTCGGGAAAAACGGGAATCGTCTCGATTACACAAGATTGGTGCTAGGTAGCCCGGCGCCATTGTAAACTCGGTCACTTTGTTAAAACGAAGACGCCAACTGGCGAACGCTAGACGATCTTTGCTCGTACGATGTAAAAAGTTGCACGAATTTTGATAGAATTTTTCGAGAAATCGATTCATTTCACTAGAGTAAACGAATCTGTGCCTAGATTGGATGTAACCTTGCCGGGTAGACTGAAGGTATTCCTATACGTGAAATATATTGGGAATGGTGAAAGCTGAAAGCTGTCGATCTACTTGAGGGAAACGAAACGGTTTTAACCAATAGGAATGGAACGAAATCGGGACGAGAGGCATCCCATGCGAACCGAATTAATGAGCCGGATTCGATTACCCAGATGTTTGCTCCCGTCGAGGGAGTTTGAAAAACCTTCCGGTTTTCCACACATATTCGTATAAAATTGTTTAGAATCTTTATATTCAATTTACGTAACTCGGTTTCTTTCTGTTCTCATGTAATAACATTGTCAATAAACGTGCTTCCTCTATCCATCAGTTCACATTATATTCCGACACTTTTTGTGCTAGTTGGGATCGATACACTCGTTTTGTTTTGCTGGCAATAAAAGCGTACTCGAGAGGCGTTCCAGTTGATATCCTCTGAACACTTCTAGTCGGACCGTACTAATTTTTCTAGTTGAAACACTCGCGTGTCGAAAAGACAGATGGACTGTCACAACAGGCGATAAATCACAGGAAAAACTGCTTACGCAGATTCATACCAGAGAAAGCTTTTAATCCGACGTGTATCAGTATCTCTGAAACAAAGACACGACCACGTGTTCGCCCGAACGAACGAAATCAGCTGAAAACAATCCTCGTTTGTCCTAAAAACTGGCAACTATTTTCTTCTTACAACTACAGAAATTCTGTACCCGCATAATTGTGTACGAAGTTTTCGCATTATGCAAACTTTTAATTACCAGTGATTCGCGTGGTTCGAGAGAAATTTCATTAAAAGCTGCGACCCAGAGATTGTTAAACAAAACCGAGCACCCGCGGTTCGTTAATCAAAATCGAGGAAACGTGGATGTATTGAGAAACCCCGATAAATCGATTTGCACTACATTTTATGTAAAATTCTTAAATAATACCAGATGCAATCATTTGTTATTATTCAGATTCACTTAGATCCTTTAACATGTCCTCGCTGAGCCAACAAATTGAATGCATCGTGGGTTAAAAAAGATTTTTAATCATTCCCCTCATCAAATTTATCGACTTGGTAGAAAGGAGGATTAATTTTCAGCTCTTCTTGCCGAGGGTGCTCATAAATTTCCGGAACTGGACGCGTATCGTCGCGAAACGAATGGTCCCCGGCGGGGTGGCATCGTACAATTTTTCGAGAGGATCGAAAATCGAGCCACCCCCTGGGGGCAGTTCGATAAGTCGGGAAGCGTAACGATATTAATATTCATCGGTCAGGTTAATATCGATGGTCCCTCTGACCGGAATTCGAACGCGGCATTTATTAAATTTAATCGAACCCTTGTATCTAAATTAACGATCTACACCGACGGTGCGAGCTACGGTGAAACATATCTGCGAGTTGCTAGATAACCGGTCCTCGTGCCCCTTCTTTCCGTTACGGTAAGCGGCCTGGAAATTCGTGCGCGTTAATTGTTAGAATCGATGGAGTGTATCAACGAAATTTAATGGAGCTTGTGTCGAATTTATGGAACCGAGGCTCCGCTGTTTGGTTACGGTACATTCTAGAGATTGTTTAGGATAAGGCACGAAATTAGAGTCGTTTCACTCCTACATAAAGGGTAAGGATCATTTCAAATTATCCAGCAATGATTATGATTTATGTTAAACGATAAATTCGTACAAAGCTTGTTTCGATAAAATCATACTTCGTATTGAGCCGCCCTGCATGGAATGCAAGTCTGAATACAAATGTTCATATTAAAGACTCCTATGAACCTCGCGGGAATAATAATATGAAATGCAAATTTATAAATGTGTCTCGAGACAAGCATTTGATTTAAAGCTAAAGCCGAGGTTGATTCCGCGGAATGTAAAGAAGCAAGACTAATGCAATACTTCTAGAGGTCACGCATGGAGAAAATCATTAATTAAAGTACCAAGGCTGTGGTGCCTGAAGAAAACAAAAGATTGAGAGAACACGCGAAACCGTTTTGCAGTCAGACTTTGATGTCCGTTCGATCTCTGTGCAGTTTTAGGTGAAACGATTTGCCATATTATATACTAAGTAGGTCAGTTTGTAAAGTCTATTTACTCCATCTTTTTCAAATCTTAATGGACGCCAGGAGTCGGTTCCGTATTTAAGCGACGCGTTTCCACATCGAACAAAAGACGTCCGGAATCGCCAGACCCGAATTACAAAAACTGAATAATCATTTATTACCGTCACGGTTGTACGGACTCGTATTCAGGCCTGATGCCTGATTAATGCCTTTCACTCGATCTGGCTTAACCCCATTCAGTTGGACAAAAGTATTGTTTAATCCCTTAGGGACTTGTCCAGACTTTTCATGCAGTTGTTTCTAATTTTCTTTAACTTATCAGTTCGTATTTATATAACATAATGTACATATAATTGATTAATAATGCAGAGGGATGTTTCACTTTTATTGCAGTCGTCTTACTTGAAAAATACAATGAAGTATTTTATGAAGTTCTTTTTAATATTGTATAAAATTACCAAAATTGTTTTTTTATACAAGTTACAAATGAACGAATATTTCTGAATTATATTGTTCAACTTGCTAATTTGCTAGTCCAGTTAATTAAGGTTACTCGTTTCCCAGTCGTCGCAATTGGCCAACTTTGACTAAAGCCGTTTCTTTCGCGTATATTTTCACCCCCGATTCTATACTATAGCTCCGCTGAAAAAGGAACACCTTTTTCGAGTCTCCGCGGAGCACTGTGCTACTTCGTTTTAAAACTCCCAACTTCGTTTCTACCTGTTTAATTGCAGTCCAACAGAAGAATTCAGCTTCCACGAGTTAAATTTGTTTCCCCCGCATAATGTACATTCTTTAAAGAGAAACACGGCCACGTTTATTATCACTTCGTCGCCGAGTCAGTCATTTGTACATAAATTTTGAGCATTACCAGTCTGCTCTCGATTCAGATCTAATTTTTCATTTGCTGTGTAATGTTCCGAGAAATAAATGAACTAAGAACTGCAGAGGGTATAACTGCGGGGTGTCGGAACGTCAAAATTTGGGGCATGCCCTGCAATAATTCGGGTGGTTATTGCGTTATTTGGCATCACGCCTTGGCCCGAGTTCTACGCGCCGCCCGGAGGCGATCTTAGCAAATCACTCGCAGTATTACCAGCACGCGAATTAATTCTAAGGCTAGACGCGAGACAGTTAATATGAACTATGCGGGAACTTCTTCCCAGAAACTCGAACGCGCGCCCGTTTTGATAACGTCGAATCGAGTTTAATGGCTGCTGCACGTAAGGGATTGGTTCCAAATTGTTAACAAACCTTGCCAAAACAGGATTCACGAATCTTAAATGCGAAAACTTACGTCGTGCTCATCAAATACCAATAATTTTATGTGAATTTTGCTTATCATACGACTGTCCTTAATGGTTCACCTTGTATGTTCCGAGGTTCCATGAATTATGTACGGAGCGACATAGATTGAACGAGGAGAGGAAAATAAATGCGTGCATGCGGTAATTTTTCACGTGGACGGCTTGTCGTTTATCCTTACTCCTTGATTCAAGGAATTCGAGCGTCCCACCGGGGATTTCGAGCTCCTCGACGTGAATCGCAGCCGATAAACAGGATGAACTCCGTTAAGGAGGAAAAACTGAAAGTAACGGGAGAGGAAAGTCGTACGCGAGATCTCTTGTCTCTGAATATAAATCAACGTTGGGAAACGTGACCCGCCGTCGCGATAAATTTCAATTTAACTGCTCGAAAAATTTGTCCCCCTCTCTCTCCTCCTCCTCCTCCCCGGGATCGATCAGTCGAGAAGTTCGTGAACACGGCGGGATCGTGTTCGCTTCGAATCTGGTATGGAAATTGATTTGGTTAATTAAGACGAACCGTTGCCGACATTTGGCTGCGTCGAAACGAGAACAGTTGAAATTCTAACGTTCTCATATATCGAATCAGTAATTAATTTCTATTATTCTGTTGTTCTTGTTGTTATTGTTTAACATAACTTGTTAGGAATACAAGGGTGCATTCAATTATCGCGATAAATTCGTAAAGGTACACGTATGCAACGGCGTAGGTCTGTGCATTTTCTTAAAAATTTCAAGGACCATTAATTTCAATTTTAATCTTTCATCGTCGTATCTTCCTATTGAAACTAATTTATAGGTAACAATTAACGTGGTGGTATCCGTGCAATCTAATTAGGTGTCAGACGTGGCATCGATCACCTGTGATGTACAGCATGCCGCGAATTACTTCTGCATCGATACCCACGATCGCGGTTAATATCGAGATTGAGACGGGGTTGACAAGTGGGTCAAGTGCAACCGACGACGTCTTCCACGGAAAATGAGAAAAATTTGCATCCCGGATTCTCACATTCGTGCCGTTTATCCCAGTTCATCCCTGACGTTCGATTTTCGGAACGCGAATTTCTTCTTGTCTAAGATTACTCACCTTGATCATGGTGTAAGCCCGGCTCTCCTCGTGTTCGCCACCCTTCTGCTGCTTTTCCATCGTCGAGTACGCCTTGGCCCATCGCAATCCCTCTTCCTGCGACACCACACGGTTCACCTAATTATTATCAATCTACTAAAAGTAATACTAGTGTTATCTCAAAGAACAATTGCCTCTTCGTACAACAGAACTATATAATTATTCTTTAGTTTATTCGTTCGTTTATTAATTGCATTGTGTCAAAAATTGAGAAGCATCGATAAATATGTGAACGAGCATTGACATTGTCAATACGAATTTGATTTCTTTGAGCTGAACAGGTTGCTCCTTTCGTCGTACACGCACAGGCATGGAAAACACGCTTACGCGAGCCCCTTTAAATGGAATGGGATTTCGCATTGCGGGGTCACGCGTCCTCGCCATTCCGCCAACTTAATTGCCCGGGAAAAATTAACTCAGTTAAATTTACCCCTTTATCGCTGGCACCCAGTTTAGCGCGGAATCTTTTTGGAGTAGAATTGTACAAACATCCGACAACGGACAAGTATTTTATTGCCGCAATCTGCTTCTGTACCAAGAACTTTTTTTAGTCCAGAATTCTTTTTTCAAGAATTCTAAATAAGATTCGACCAAGCTACGGTGACATTATTCTCGTAAACGAAGGTATCCTGTTAATGGATTGCAACTCGAGACACTTAATTAATATGGGATAAACCGATTTTCCTAATGAGCTGATGTTTGAAATACAGTCTCGAATCATCATTAATCATGTCTCATTAATTATGAAGATAGATACAATGCAAGAAACCGATGCACGTGGAATTACATAATAGAAAAAGAATAAACTGTGAGAAATGTTTTTTAAAGCGCTTAATGCACGAAACAGGAACTAAAAGATAATACTACTTTACAAACTGTGTGGACATTTTGTACTTATTGCGATGGTAGCGGTGACGTTTTTCAATTAAGCTCAGCAGATTTCACTTATCTGGCCACCTACTCGTATCCGGATATGGTTTGCGGAAATGTTTGGGACAAACATGTTAACAGGGGCGCGACAAGGCCGGCGTTTCACGCTTGCCGGAATAACAGTAATTTCTACGCAGTCGGACCTCGGTGCATTATCATAATCGATATTTCGTTAGCATAATGAAACGATACTGCTCCCTGGAACGCGGTACACGAAACGCAACGAGCATCTGTGTAATTCTGATCGGAGCACAACGATTCGAATTCTGTTTGTTCAAATCAATTAATCGCGCAGGTTCGAGTAATAAAAACTCATTAGAAAGGCAGACAACTGGGAGTTTTCGTTAATTATTTTTCCAATTAGCAATCGACAAACTGCAGATTTTAATGCAGAATAATATATTTCGGATTGCAGTTAAAAAAATGCATTCTGAATGCCATTTGGTTTTTTATTTATACCATCAAATCTGCAGCCGGTTAATAATTTCATATAAACTAAATTAGAAGTCGAAATTAAAAATTCATACGCTCTTTCGCATATATTTTTACTAATTGTATGCCCGGCCTTGAATTAATTCTGATATATAGATCCTTGGAATTACACCGTTTCCCATCGACCGGATCATTTCGCGTCTGGTTTAAAATCAAAGTGGGTGGCGAGGCCGTATTAGAAGGTCAACTAGGAAGGATAGAGAAAATTAGGTAGATAGTTCTTGGAATGTCAGCGAGGACTCTGGCGTTCGTCCAAGCGACTTGGGCCGAAAATCCTGGCTCCAGTCTGTCCTACTCGTCGCGCCAGCCCGTTTTCTGTTCAACGAAGCTACCGGTCGACTTCCCCTTCGTTTCCAGCCTTCACGATTTATGTTATTTTCGCGGCTAACTTATCAGCGCGTTCGGAAAGCTATAAAAAAGGTCCGAGATTTATAATCCACTGCTATCCTGAATATCGACACGGCAAACGTACCGTGTCCAGACATTTTTAATAGTGAAATGTCACTGACATTCATCTTCCTGCTAGAAATAGACGCGGTACATTTGCTACGTCGATGTTATTCGTCCAACTAGCTCGTCACGCGCCGTTTGATCGAAATTCACTGCGCACTGTAACCTTCGATACGATATTCCGCGAACATTATCGAACGCGTGCTACCTGCCCTCGAGCGATACCACTTTGATTGTGAACAGGCAATCGCCATACTTTTTACTTATCCCGAATCTCCGATTTGCGGGCGTGTAAGTCTTTATCGACTCGCTTTTACTACCGGAGGTCTGGCCAGACGAGCCGTGAAATAAGTTGGCACGCATCCTACCTCGGCTTATTAGCATGGAACGGGTCCGCGCGATTTGGCAGCAAATGTGTCGAAGAGTTAGTGGGAATCGGTGCCAAAGTAATGTTTAATTCGTTGTTTAGATAACAATCTTCGGTTACAACACTTGGAGTCAGACTTTGAATCTGTAATTCATTTCTCAGCACATTCTCTATGGATTCAATGGTTCCGTTGCCATTGATGAATAATAATTAATGCGCCCCGGTAGTCGACGTCGAGAACGTCTGTGACACGAATCTCAGCTTTTTTTTAATCCCCGGTGTGTCCGTCCGCGTTTCTACCTCACTAACAGGCAAGTTAAAGTGCCGCGCCGTGTCACGACGACGCGATGGGGACCCTTTTGTCGTAGCTTAAGTATTAAAATCCTCTCGGCCTTAAACTCTTATCACAATCGTCGGAGAGCCGAGGCCGGACAAAAGGGGGTCGGACAACGTCAGGAATCCCCGCTTCGATGCACCATCCTTAACCCTTTACGACTCTTTTATTGTTAAAAAATGTTCCCGTAGGTCATTAAAACACGTCTTTGATTTATTATTCTGTAATTAATTCCCTCCGCGTACCGTCCCAAGAATCGAATAAAACACAGAGTGAAAAGAGTGTTGCGAGCCGTAAGTAGAGCCCGGACTCACCGGTTTACATCGCGTGATAACGATGTCGTAGTTGTGGGATCGAGTTGACTGGCCTCGAGTTTTATAATCTCGCTGAGAAATGAGAGTTTTTGGAGAAATTCGAAGATCGAGACTGTGTTCAGAAGTGGCGAACAAGTTTAACTGCTTGAGAAACCCTTGAGTCGAACGAGCATTGAAAGACACACTCGAGGCGCCTCGAGTCTCTTTGAGAACGTTTCACGGAATTCCTGCGCTCACCAATCTCTGTACCCGCGATCTAAATACTCGTTCTCCTCTATTAAATCACCTCTGGCATAATCGGCGATCTCTATTCCGAGCAAACAATGCATGCGATGGTATCGCGAAACCTTAACGAGAAACTTAATCGCTCAGCCGTTCGTTCGATCGAGCACTCTTCAAGTACGGTATCGCCTTCGTTCCAGCCTCCAATGAGCCAGCCAGCCAATTTTCGTCCGCCTTGTAATTAGCATCCGAAATTCCCTAGATAATCCGATTCAAACGATGAAAATTGCCTTTTCATTCACTTTTCAACAGATCCCTGTATTTAAGGGATAGCCAATCCCATCAGAGTTATTAATTAACGAAACTCCGTGTAAAGTCATGAGAACAGCTTGGTGATAAGGTGCTGTTCAGAATTGTGTATCAAACGAACCTTTAATCATTTTTAGTTCTTATCAATCTTCAGTACCTCTCTGTGTTTAGACTACTCGTTAAGACATAGTCAATCCCGTCGCAGTTATTAATTAAAGAAATTCTGTAAAATCATAAGAATTGCTGATAACGAGGTTCTATATCAAACAACCCTTCAATTGTTTTTTCTCCTTATGAAGAAGTTTATTCAGGTTCTCTGTTCGTTATCCCTAATAAGGTTTCTTACTTTGCGACGGATGTTGACGACATTAGCGAGAATTTTTTAGTTTGGTATTCTGGGGCCACAGGTTACCGGAAGGAGTATTCCGGTTTACCGAACGCGATCAGGACGTGATGGTGGTTGAAAACAGTTAAGGGAGGAATAGTTAATTCTCAGCACGTAGTCCCCCTCGGTTCGATATACAATGAATAATCGAGTCTCGTTTAAGAGAGTACTACGAAGTCCTCAAGTGGTACTTATCATTGTGGGTCCTTAAGTAAAATCAATCTTTTGATATCAGTTTAGAAAATGACATTTCGGTTCAGATAGCTTTTAGGAGTATTAATGTACCTGCCTATCATCAGTTATTTATCATAAGTTATCAAATTCTTTTATGAATACAGAGTCTACTGTTTAGTTATCTCGATTAACTGTAGAATTTTGGGATTGTAATTATGTAAATCTCTCGACTCACCGGGTTCTCCGTGAAGAAAGCGTATCCCTGGAGTTTGGTAGGCAGATCTAAGAAGACAGAGGATCTGGACCGATCGTACAAATCGACGTCTACGAAAAAGTCGAACAGAGGAGCTCCGTTCACCCTCAACAGCATCGAGACCAAAGGCGTGATATCAGCTGGCGCGATGCTCTTCGGTGGTAGATAGCCGCCGAGCTCGCGTAGAAGCTCGTAAACTGGAAACAGAAGATAGTAAACAAGTTTTAACGAGACTCGTGGAACGTGATGCGAAATTCCTCTCCGCGGACTACAAGAGGAAATAAAAACCCGGATTTTCGGCGGTCGTTTCATTTCGAAATCGATGCTCGATTCGGCGAGACAATGGTTTTGATCTCGATACATTCCCATTTTGGTCTCGCTTCTCCATCACCGATCCTCGTGCACTTCCGGAGTGCAAACAACAAACGAAAACAAAGAGCAAGAGCTCTGCAAAAATAATTAATCATATCTTCGGCGAAGTACATGTTTTATCAATCCTTTAAATATAATAATAAAAATCGCTAATCGAAAGAGCCATTTATTTCGCAAGGCTTAGATTCTCAAATAATTTTAGGCCAGATTGTAGGCAATAAAAAAAGGTAAATCCCGTTGCGCGTTAGCGTGTTGCGGAGTGATAAGAATCGCGGCATAATACTGCCGCTTACAATATCATTGCGCGTGTTATCACGCCACGGGATCGTGCCAGTCCGTAATGTAATTTACTTTTTAACGTGCAAATCGAAACGGACGTGTTTAACGAAATTGTTCAAGTTCCTCGGCTAACTTTCTTTTTTTGTCGGATAACATCAACGTTTCAGGTCCCTAGAAAAATGCTTTACAACTTTTTTCTACTGAATTCGTGACAATAAAGCTCTGCCTTTCGTCAAGGATTCGTCCCCGTTACACACTTTCTTTTTTGCTAATTTCATAGAAAGGTATCATTCATTTATAATTATGAATTACGTCGACATCTTAAAGGCATCATCTGTTCAGACGAGATCTTATAATAGAAAATCATTCGCATAAGTACGAGAGATATTTAACTGAATTTGAATGCAAGAACATATGTCTACATACTTAACTCTTTTCTTAAAGATATTGGTAACTGTATTTTACTAAGGAAGATTCTTAGACGATTGAATGGAGAGTTTCGATTGAAGACTACCCCGAGCATCTCGGGCGCCATTAAGGGGTGGAGATCGGGAGAGGGGTGTGCTCGATAAGGGTAGAATATATCCGTGCTCTCGAAATCCACAAGTTCACCGTTAAGTAAAGCTTCGCGTGATTTCAATCGCAGCGAACAATCGCACACGCGCGCGCGCGCGCGTAGTATATATATGTACATCTGTACGAAATGGTCTAACCAATCCCCCAACCCGCTCGTTCGGTTACATCTATATCTTTGCATGACGCAAACTGCACGCGCTGGCCAGATTGCTTTCGATCGACGCCACCTCCGAAATTCCAACTCCCTTGTATTTTACATCTACTCCTTATCTTTCATTTTCGTTCATCGTAGAGCAAACAGATTTTTGCATTATTCTGATCTTAAGAGAAATTAAATAACGCGAAGAAGTGGCATAGCTAGTGAAACTTGTGCAAACGTTTAGTTCGTATCGATTTCAGCGTAGACTAATTGCAACAATTACTTTGAACTTGAGCTGGATCGCAACCACAGTCAAGGTTTCGTGCCATTCGAACCGTCGGCAAACTTCTCCATAATTCATCGCGCAACTATGATCGGTCTAACAATTATCAGAACCCAGTAAACTTTTTAAAACGGACTGCTGATCCAGCGTAAAAAATTTTTTCTATTTTAAGTAAGGATCGTAAACTGAGACATTCATGTGGTCCTCGTTGTATCTGTTTTCGATAAGCGAACGGCAGAAATCGATTATAGCTGGCACCTGTACGCAGCAGATCCATTTATCCAATTAACGAAGAGGAAGATTAATTGCGCTGCGGGCAAAGAACAGGGAGAACCGAAAACGAGTCGCAAGTACGAAAGTCGCTAAAGGGTGTCAAGGCTAGGCAATTTGGCCTCCGGCTACATCCGGGGGATGATTTACTCGGTCGCCTAGTCCAGAAACTATTCTCACCGAAACTATGCTCGTAGATCCAACTTCGTCACTGCACCTCAATTCCCCGCCTTTTTTATTCTCGTACAATCATCGAACTTCTCTGTTTACACAGGATCATATCTTCACCAGAGACAATAAAAACATTATCACGTAGTTTTACGGAATTATAAAACTCCACCAAAAACTTATATGGCAGTTTATTTTGGACACAAGTTGTGAACTCTACGATTTATACGTAGCAATTTGAACATTCTCTGAAGAGAGTTCATTCTGAAGTCAAAATAGAGTCCTCGGGGAATACTCGACTGTTGGAGAAAAAAAAAAAAGCAAGGTTCCAAAGTACGTCTATATATAGACGTCATCGAGGCGCATTAGAGGGTTAGCTGGAGCTTTTTTTAAACATCCCCTCGCAATGTTAACGCTCCTAGTTGGAACTGTGTCAAGGATAATACCCAGGATCGGGTACGACACTTCCGCGAGTTTTCGCGGCCCATTGGATCTCGGTAAACGAAGATCGATGAACGGGGAATTTCGTGGCCCGTTTCCATCAAAAGTTTCACCTCCTGTGGGAGAAGACCGCTTGACGCAGGTTCATTCGTCGGGAACGTTTCGTCAAAGTCGTCCTCGACGCGGAAGAGCGGGCTTTTTGTTAGCAGCCGGAATCTCGCGTCTCCCCGAGCACAAAGCTCGAGCCAGCGACGTGTGCCTCTTTTAATGCCGCACAATTGATTCCCAGAGTTAAAGCAATTGCGGGAATTAGCTTTTATCTTTGATCGCGCGACGATCATAGCAGATATCACAGACCTCACGCGACGGGTAATTATTATGTACACGCATCCAGAATCACTGTTCTTAATTAACTAATACGTTAATCTTTAATCGCGACTCGTTAAAAAACGATATGATAGCCGTATCGTTTTGTAAATTCCTAATTAAATACGTGTGATTACTCTAGCGAAGGGGGATAAATTTTGCAGAATGATATCCTTGAAAACTTGTGGCTCCGTTTGAAGGGTGCGCTTTGCATTTAATTGTGAGGCGACGGATTCCAAGGGTGCTGGAAGCCATTGTGAAATAGACGACTCAAGGACGAGGGGATGGCGCGAATTAATCCGGTCTGGGCCATGGTTAATTTTGAAGCCTAGCCCAAGTCCCGATTGAATTCCCGTGCCCGAAGGAAATCGGCGAAGACTCTGCGGGTGCAGGAAATGGAACTTCCGGATTGTTTCTGGGCTCCCCGGGTTTGCCGTAGTCGAGCCCACGAGTATACGTGCATGCCCTGTCTCGTTAAGATCCTGCTAATTACTAACTGTACGCATCCTCTTTGCAAATTGAAATTAACTCGTTAGTGAAACTCGGTTGCGGCCAGATACGAGTCTAATTTTTGTATATTTGAAGAATCGATCTGATTTAACGAAGGATCTGACGAATTCTTATCGGTCCGATGGTATAACTCCTGTCGAGTATTACTTCTGAATTCAGAGACATGTGAAGTGAATTTTCGAGCATGATTTATGATCTTATTAAAATGGGAATGGATTAAAGATCGGAATTCGGCAATCTTTTGACATCTCGCTCCATCGGATCGATGTTCGAATGGAGAAGTGGGTCAGAAATCGTGAGCAGTGCACGCGAGGCGACTTATTTTCGCTCGGTTCACCCTCGACTCGATGCGTGTACGCCTTTTTTTACCCGCAACGCGACGTGTCGCGCGTTATCGGCCTCGAGTCGCACGCACGCGATCCGTTTCTACTTGCTGCGGAAAATAGTCGTCACGAAAAGATTGCAGGGTGGCCTGGAGGACTGATGACGTCGCGGATGCGCGTTCATCCGCATAATTACACGTACGAGTAATCCTTTGTCACTTTGTAACAGTCAGAAACTGGGCTGCGTCATGCTAGTCAGTGGAAACATGCGACCGGCCACTGGAGACAAGTTTTCTCAGATCTGCCTCGAACGTGTGCAATTACACACGAGACAATCTCGAAACACGGTCGATGGGTCGTTTAAAACTTTTGCTAAAGAGGATTCTTCATAGTTATCGTTTTATTATACCGACTGGATTTTTATTACCGAGTTTCAAGGCTCGCCCGGATTCATTGAAAACGTCTTCGAGAAAAACCCCGATACCCTTGACTCTAATACTTTCGGATACGATCGCTTCTTCTAAACCAGAATTTGCAACCGTCTCCGTGAAACGAGAACGAGCTAATTACTCGCAATAAATAGAATGGAAAGATCGGACCGTCGAATATTTGTCAAACGAATCTATGAGTCGTGGGAAGGAATTTTGACTGATCGGAGAGAATGCAAGTTACGTGACATTCCCTGTGTCGTGATCGATAAACGGGCAACTATTTTTATCAATACATAAAAGGCAGTCCAAGGCTGGTGAATCGTCAACATCGACTGGAGAGAGAACTGTCCCGTTCCGAGAGGCAAACGAGACGCAACCGCACCACCCACACGCGGTAATATCCACTAATTGTCCCGCGATTAATTACCCGGCTAATCCAGGGCTGACATTATCCGGGCTGATTGTGTCGGGCCGACGATTATCGGGCCTTGCATCGTGTCGTTTCGATCGCCTCGATTAGGAGTCGTTTAACGCCAACCCTTAACTCGATTACTCGATTCAAATTATGCCACATGCAGCTAAACTAAGTAGTTGATAAATACTCTCGAGGTCCAATTTTATTAGTATACCACAGAAGAGAAATTACTAATGAGTGGGTAGCCTTATGAGATTTTGTGTCGCACGAAAGAGTCTGTAATTTTTTATGCCCTTTAGAATATATTGCTGAGTAAGAAATAAAAAGCGGAAGTCTCGTCGGTACTGAACCGACCGTATAAACTACTCGTTAAAGAGTAATTGACGGTTAACGAAATAATTAATCGATTAGTCCTGAAGTATTCGAGATAGAAGAAAATTGTACACGACCTTTTCTGCAGGTAATAGCAGTACAACTTTTATTCAAAACATTTTTCAAAAAAAAAATTTGTAGTTTTCCGAAATTTTGTCAAGGCCCTTTAGATTTATCGATACATATTTTCCTACAACTTCTGTATACAATTTTTTTCACTAGCGTCAATATTTGTTCAATAAATAAAATTGTTTATTGCAAGAATTTGTTTTCCTTCTATCGAAAAATGTTACAAACAAAAGTTGTATCTCTAGTTGTCAACGATTTTAAGCCCCGTTGGGCCACATTCGCTATCCCAATGATTACACGGGCACTGCCACTCTTTAGTAGTATCTCTTTGATGAGTATGTTAAAAAAAAAATTAAGACTCGATAGGTTAAACAGTTTTATAGTTCGGACTTTTCATGCCTGTAGTGCCTAGAAGTTTGGCTATATTAGTTAGGAAAACATCATAAATCTATGACCAGATTTTTCGACATAAATGATTCATCTGCCGCGTGGCTCGTTAGACGCTTTCAATAATTGAAAAACTTTTGTTTTACATCGACGTCGTTTTTCATCGTTACCGATTACTCCCCCTGATTTATATCCAAACTGTGTGCACGTATCTCGATACGCTTTTATCAGAATTCTCCTGAATTTATATTAATTCTTTTTGAACAAAAATTGAAGCATTTTTTTAATTTCGTGGTGTACACTATCAAACAATCTCTATGAGTTTTACCTATATATAATTAAAATATCTACGCGACTGTTTCTATTAGCCGTATGCCGTAAAATGGAACATAAAACGCATCGAGCAAAAACGGAGTGACGTATTCTCGCCAAACACTGTCCGCGACCAACCCCAAAAAACGAGCCTTCGGATGGGGAAAAAGTTCAGGCCGCTGTTACACGGCGACAGGCTAATCGATAGTCATCGGTTTTGCTTTCATCTCACTGTTTTTTCCTGTTTTTCAATTATGCTAAAGAATTTTTTGTCATCGCGGTAGCCGGATCTCAACCGCGACCGCGGTATCTAACCCGTGAATTTCTGGGCATTCAATTAAATTGCTGACACGCGCTGTCATGGGAATTAAAAAGCGTACATTGCATTTGACGTTCCCGCGTCAGTTTCAGTTGAATTTATTCAACGGGCGTACATTTCAATGGCGTCTTTAGCTTAAATGTCTCTATGCGTTTTCACGACACTAATTAACGTGGCCGTTATGCCAATTAAAATTAAGTAAAGTATCTGCATTTATAAAATTCATTGAAGTCGCGGCAGAACGCGCCCGACGTTTTACAGCGTCACCAGCTGGTCTCTTTGTTGCCAGAAGTTCCAAGGTCCGCGTTATCACGATGATAACGGCCTTCGAGCGAATTTCCCGTATCGAGGCTCGATTGTCGTAAGTTTCGCTTGATCGATACGCGATCCAAGGACGGACAAGATATAAATTCCTCCTTCCTCGGTGCTCGACGAAATCGCTGCCCGGAAACGGTTCGAGGGCTGTTTTCCAGGCAAACACGAAGAGTATCGATTATGTAACTGGCATCGATCCGCGCTTAAAAAGCTAACGATAGGCCGTCGAAGAACCACGCGATCGTACGTTATAACCGATTAGAGGATTCCCTCTTGTTTTTCTGAGTGGACGGCTCTGAAAGCCTGGTAAATTTGGCGTGTCGTTTGAAAAAGATACGGGATTGGAATAATCGTAGCGTAAACACGGATGAATCGAACTCTGTTAGCCACGCTTCAATCATGGTTTAATCAATCCATAGGTAAATAAATTGTTCCCGGAATGTTCGGAAGCCAACAGGTTTCGTTTAGAACTAAATACTGACCGATTTAATGTTTAGAAAATGTCACCATAAATTAATTCGACGCAAGATTTACAGTCTCGTTGAGAGACGTGGAGGGCGACAATAGCCAAAATTTTATGGATAATGGATTGGTGCCAAGCGATGGCAATAAGCTAATCGAAGCGTAAAGCAGAGATTCGAGCATAGTATTTCGTCGAAACGGGTTGAATTCATCTCTGATTAATACCGCTGGCCGACGATTTGGCGCCGATACTGATTGATTAATCGTATTGCCGGGCCATATCGGTGCTTCGTTTCTATTCTTAGACTGCCTTGCATCGACTTTCTGGGTTAGAGCGTGACGCGCGAGAACGCTCGCGTTTTCGATATTTTTTTCTACTCCAAAAACCTGCGGCCACAAAATAAATTCCCGCTTCAAGAGATCCACACCCCTTTCCAATTAACCCCTACTCCGCGCCGAATTAATTTTCGCGCGAGCTACCCGTCGCTGAAATTACTCACAAATAATACGCTGGACACTACAATATCCCGCACGATTTTTCAATCTCATGAACATACCCTTCAACCCACTTTTGTCACCATAATTGACCTAATAATTTCTGTCACGTTTGTCCATCAAATTTCTACTGGACGTAACGATACCTTGTTCAGTTTTTTAATATCAATTCATTCCCTTGTCTAACAATTTTTGTGACGTTCATTCCTAACAAATTCCAGTAGCAATCATAAATCTTTGAAGAGACTATCTAACTTGTCAGAGGAGCAAAACTAAGTTAAAACGAATCGCCCGGTGAAATAGCCGTTGACAAAATATTTATTTGAGAGAGGACGAACGTAAATCAGTTGAAATATCGCCAGTTACGGCATACATAAATATAGTATACGTGTATAGCGTGTTCGAGTTCGATCATCGATCGAGAATGTTAGTTTTATTGGCCACCGGGGTTCCGTGATTTCCGTGCGTATGAATAATCGATCGCCTGCCCTCGCGATTTTCCGCAGAGAACGAAAAACCGAGCAAAGAACGTAGCGGGAACATCTGCGCGGACGACTGAATATATGAACGGACTGCGACAGATGTCTCGCGTGCATTGCTACAAGTTTTATTTAGGAACTTGCCCGGTGTTTTGCAAAAATCATTATTGAATGTCACGACGATATAAAATATAAAATCTGCGGTCTATTAATGATTTAATGAGAGTAGAGGGAAGTCACTAGCTTTAAATTCTAAACAGAATATACTGTGTATTTATGCGACAGCACTTTGCACATCAGAGACCTGTTATCTTTTTATATTTGATACGTAAAATCGATTGAAAACCTTTTACGACGAAAGACGTTTGAAGCGATCGCGTTAAGCTATCAAAAACGTGAGGAATAAACGCGATTCAGCGATTTTGCTACATTTTCATCGCGTGCGAGCGTCGCCGGTGAAACGACGCGGAATCCGGTGACGCATCGTCGACGGAAACGGCGTCGTTAGCGCGGTCGACGCAGGCGTTATTTCCGTCACCGACGTCTGCATTTGTCCGTCGTCACGTATCGTTTTCAAATGGAGTGCACCGCTATCGAGCGGCTCTAGAATATAGCGGATCGACTTACCCGGAGTAAAATTCACTGGCTTCTCCTTGAATTCCAAACAGCTTTTGTAAAATTGTCCCAGCTTATCGAAGTCGCCGACCATACGACCCGTCTTGTTCGCCAGCATTTCTAGAAACAATTTTTTTCAACGTTTGATTAAACATTATTCGGAATCAGGCAGAGGACCCGAGTTTTAAAATGCAATTATTGATTTGAGTAGGATTTCATCTCTAGTCTACGTTCTTAGTTTATTTGATGCCTGGGTGATAATAATGATCGTCCTCCTACGTTTTTGGCTGTATTAAAAGGTCGATACGAGACTCGGTTGCCATTCAGGTTCCGAAAATGGCAAAGGTTTGGCTAAAAGCGATCGAAGAGGTGACTCGACCGAAATAATTCGGACAAGCAATCCCACGCACGTACAAATAAAACTACTCCAAATGGTCGCTGCGAAAGTGAAAATTCGCATCCTCAACGAAGGGGTACGAAAAAGCTCGTTTCTCCTCGTACTAATGCTTGCTACTATTATCGATAGAACATTTTTAACCGAGCAATTTTTAAGTCTTAAAAGTCATCATTCGATAGAATCAGTGTAAATATCTTTCTTCTGTACTTGTCTGTAGATAAAATTGTTTTGCACCGAAAAATCGGTTGGTTAAAAATAGAGCAAGCATTTGGTCGCTCGTCACGCGACCGTTTCCCGGTGACTTGTCGTTCTTATTTCTCTTAAAACATTTCTGCACGATTCGACGTTTAAAATGGGGATCGTGAAACGAATGAAAGAACTCGGTTCCTCGTACTTTGTCCCAGGCGACTGCTTGGCGCCACGAATTTTTTGAGTTTCCTCATCAACAGAAATCTCTCTTTCACAGAATCAACGTGAACTTCAATCAGGGATTCGCTTCAGCAATTTCCTCGAGTCGGAAAGCTTCAACATGTTTCAATAGGTATTATTTTTTATTACAATCCGAAATGGAAACCCTGATTTCAGTCTTTAAATATTTATGGCTGACTCTTGAAACATTTATAGCTGTCTCTATCTCTCCTTAGATTTCTCGTCGAATCGATTCCCAAGCAAAGTGCGCGGTGCAATTTTTCAGCCGCACTTTTAAAACCATCCGTTTCGCATTTAACGTAATCAGACTGAAATCCTTCGGAGAGTTTGAGACGTTTTCGAAACGATAGATTGTCTTGGTTGCCGGAACCGACGAAGCCTTAGACGAGTGAATTTACGTAAGAACCAAAGAACGGGGTTACGAGCTTGATTAATCCCGCCCGCTTTAATGGGTCAAGTTCGTATCCCTAAGCCAGACGAGTTACGTCGATGTTCGATTCGATTTGCCGATTCCAACAACGTTGTGAAACGTTCAATCACGTCTCATTATCGATGCGACACAATCTATCATCGATTCATTTCGCAATTATTTTTCTCTTCCAATCTCCAAACCGACAAATTCTTCATATATTATCCACAAGTATACGAAATTCTTCAAAGATTTAAAGCCATTAGCAGATTACACGGTAATTATAAAATGAGATTATAACTCACAAGTGTTTGGAAACGGAAATGTTTCCTGCTGGTAAGCTCGCTACGGGAGACTTTAACGAACCAACAGTGCCTATCCATTTTTCTTTTCTGGAAAGCCGGCGTACTCGCATCGCTGATTAAGCGAGGAAATTGGTTTCGTACTTCACGCGGCGGATCTAACCCCACCGCAAATTCGATAATCCCTCTCGCTCTCTCAGATGCCAGCGAAATTAGCTTTATCACTGCCACCGCCCGGTTTATTTCAAAACCCCGTCTAGACGCGATATTTTCGACCTTAATTGCTCTCCGCCGGGGACAAGTCGATCATTATTAACTTATTCACTCGTTTCCCTGATTCGTACGATTTGTTGTTTTAGAAACGGTATTAATTAACACTGCCTTATAATACCTAGCAGGTGGACTAACTAAATTTTATACGAAACCAAATTCATTTAATATTAGTTGAAAAACTGAAATTTATTTCTTGCAAATCATGTTCTTGCACGTTCTACAATAAATGTATCAAATCTGCAGTCTACTAATGGAACTGTTTACGACGCTACTTCCTGAGACATTTGATCGATTGTCTGACGTTATAGGTCATCTAATTAGACCGTTCCGAGCGTCTCCCTAATTAAGAATTCTACGGTTGCCAGGACAATTAGGAAAGGATCCCGGCTTAAGTGGACCTTTGCGCGTTACGGCCGCGTTAAGTCGAGAGTGGACGCGTTAAAGCGCCGACACAAACGTATTCTTGCCGCTTTTTCCGCGCGACGAATTCACGAAACGTTTCCACGCGACGCGCTTAGTCTTGAATTGGAACACCGCGTGGCGTGCTTTCATATGCAACCGAAATTTAATCTGGTCATTACGTATACACGCTCTTATTGCATTATGACCAAGACTAATGCCTCTGACGTGATCCTTTAAGAAATACTAGCAAAATTGTTTAACTACAAAAGAAAATTTCGAAGAGCAGTAAAACAAGTATGTGAAATTGGTTTTTGCATAAGCAAATGGACTAGATCCATCATTTCTCATCTCCTAAATTGCGGCTGTTAATTGAAATATCAGATAACATAAAAAATCATTTATGGAAGCAAGTTCGGGAATGTTAGTTACGAAGGGCGGGTCGCAAATGCAAATTGAAGTTATCGACGAAGTTAGCTTGTCGTTGTCTACAATTCAGAATTGTTAATCGTAATCCACGCGGACACGGTTTGCGGAGTCTTAAGGAAATTCTGTTACAACTTCTGTTTACGATGGCGACTCGGTGTTGCGAGTATTCCCCGGCGAACTTTCATAAATCTCCCTTATTAAAAGTTGCAAAAAAAAACCACTGCGTTAAGTCTAAAACCACTTCGTTGGTTTTTATGGTTTATAAATTATCTGCAATGGGTCGTTAGTTTAGCTTGCAAAAACAAATGCAAATTATTTGGCACTGTATCCTACGACTAATAAAATTCGATTGGTCATCGGAACGAAAGCCAAATTGCTCGACCTGGGGTTAAATCAATTAATAGTTTCAGGTGACAAAGTGAATGAGGGTTCAAGCAACCCAGTTTCGATGGCAGTGAAAGGGACTCCAATTAGCCCCTGATTCGATGGTCCTTCAAGTCTTAATATTTACAATCAATTTTGCCAGAAGAAAAATTGCCTACCTCGCTGTTTGCAAAATGTTTTCACGACTTCTTATAAACCAACGCGACATATCTCTTGGATTGATAAATAGAGAATACGGAAGATGTTGAAGCTGATATTTCTCAAGAATATACGATTCGAACAACGATAGGGAAAAAGATATTCGAGTAATGTATCTGCCACAACTTTCATAATAAATCGTCTGATACGCGAGATGGTACTGTTAAAGAACAGCGATTACTCGAAACGTTCGACAGAAAACGACTTGCTTTTCTTTATTACGATATTTACTAGTTCACGTGTCACTTTCCTACTCTCTTAAAGGACTACAAACTTTAATCGCCTGTAACTTCGCAATAAATAACGATGAAGCGTAGAGGTAACGCGGTTCCACGCGGTAAAGTCTCTTCTTTAAAATGCCGTTTGATTCATTCCGATACGGCTTCCGGTTTCGGAGGTATCGTCGTGCGAAGACAAGCGCGGTTTTTCGGTCTCGCTGTTGCCGTCCTCGTCGCGCGGCTCGGACTTCTCGCTCGCATGTTGACCCAGTTACTGACCTACCCTAGCTCCCACCAGCCCGTCTAGACACCTGCTACACGGTTCTAGGAAATAACCGGTTCTAGGAAGAGAGTGGGGCGGGATTCCCTGCCGGGACTCCGCGCGCTTAAACGGTCGAACTTTGGAAGCCTATATCTCGAGGATGGATTGAGATATTAGGATGAAAAGAAAACCATTTTTCTCGTCTCGATGTCTTCTATCCATCGGCCGCGTTCCAGACCAGAAATTCAATCTCATTTTATCAGTAATTTTAGATTATTAATTACAAACGTCAGATTTTAGTAGTAAGATTAAAAACGATGTAGATAATAATTTGACACACGTAATATTGGATTAAAATCGAGTCCATGATCTCTTAAAAGCGAATTGCAGGGTAGATAAAAATTGAGGACAGATAGAATCTTATCTGGGGTATCGTTTCGTGTTTTCTTCGACTCGGTTTACGTCGCAATGAAATTTCTGCGGCCTCGTATTTCTTCATCGGGTCGTTTTGTACCCTCCATTGCGACGAAACTGCGTTTTAAAGGCACCACGCCAAATGCCGCCCCTTTCGCTGCGCTTTTTATTACTATTTAGAAATATGGGTGACTGTATCACGACGGGCTGTAATCTTCCAACTTCTCGAATCGACTTTCAAATCGTGCGCTTTAAAACTTTGAGTATAAAACATCAAGTACTGAACGGTTCACTTTTTTAATGAAAATAAATTTCATTCGCACTGATGCACTCTTGCGAAGGATTAATTGACCCATTTCACGTAAACTGAAGCTTGAATTGTATCGTATAATATCGGTTTATGAGCAGCGCGACGGATAAAGTTATCGATCATCTTAATCGCAAGGTTATTAACCGTGAAAGAAACCCTGCAGGAGATGAAGGGACAACAAGAGGATTAGTCTCGCGAAGTTTGCATCCGGGCAGCTTTTAATATCCCCTTTTTCATTGAATACATTACGGCGCCGGGGCCATTATGTTCGCGGCGCGCATTACCGGGATGTTACGCTGAAATAATACCCAGATCCCCGTTCTGTCGCTCTGTTAACGTTGTAACGAGACTGCTCATAAAAGATTCTCTATTATATCCCGCTTTGCATGCGCCGATGCTGAAAATTCAATGCCGTGTTCCTCGGACCACCGAGACGTGGAAAATTGAAAGACTCATGACGAGTAGGAGGACCCAATATTATTTTCATTGTATTGCACGAACCGAGTAACGACAAATAATTCACGATTGATTGGTTCTTGCTATTGAGTCATGTTTCAATAGATCTGGCGAGTTTCTTCAAATAAATTATTCGACCAACTTGTACGAAACGAGAGAAAGATAGTAAAAGTTCTCGCGTTTTGTTCCACTGCTCTCACACCGAGTTGAATATTCAGCGGTTTTTAAGCGACGTCTTAACGATCGTTCGATCGGCTAAACTCTAACGCGCGGAAATTCCGGACTTTTCAACTCGGATCCGCCTTTCATCAAACGAAGGTACACTGGGGAGGAGTGGAACGAAAGGTTGGCCGGTGAAAACAGGGCGAAGCTTCTGAAATTTCGAGTTTCCATTTAGATGGAAACCCGCGAAAGCGACGACAAAAGAGTGCAGCGTGCGCGCCGCGAAGGCAGAAAGAATCGGACTTCCGGTTGCTGCTTTGGGAATCGAGGACTCGTGACGAGAGTGGCTGCGAAACTCGTGTTTAACGAGTTCCCGGATAGCGATTCACCAGCTTCGAGCTGCGTTCCAGGTGCTCTCCAGCTTCCTTTAAACCGCCCACGCCATTTTTTGTTCCTCTCACTTCAGTTCTCGCGGTAGACGTTTCAGAATCGATGAAGACGAAACGGTACGCGATCTTACTTCAAACATCCGTGTGCCGCGCCATACCTCTTAATTCTCCCTCGAGATTTTTCGTTCACGCTTCAGATTTCGTGGCAGGCGTTTCACGATCTATAAAGTAAGAGCTGTATGCGATTCCACTTTGAACGTCCGTTCAGCGGGCAGATAGAAATTCCATTCTGCAAGATCGAACGAACAATCGCATTTGTCGATTAAATACAGTTCCCCCGGCGTGTTTCGGTTATTGGCCAGTCACGCATAATGATCGATAAAGGAGCCACCGTTCTATGAATCATCTCGTGTATCTCACATGATTTATTGTTCCCGGTTCTCCCCGGGCACGGTATCAATAATTCCCGATTGAATCCGACAGTTCTATTCGATTACGGGGTGTTTCTTTCGTTATGTGTCGCTCCGACTTCACTCCTGATTGCATTAAGCCTTAATTCCTTTTACGGCCACGAGCAAAACGAGAATCGTCGTAAGAACATAATATCGAAAATCGATATTATGCTCGCAGCCCGGATTATTCGAAATTTCCTTTGATTCGCGGTTTTCGCCGTTGAAAGAGGTCATAATTGAAATTCCCTTCAATTAGAACTTCTCTCGTCGATTTCGACTCTCCAGTCGCCACTTTTTGTCTTAACATTAAACTTGTACTGGTATTTCTCGTTAACCTTATATCTATTCTTCTATCAAGAACTCGAAGGAAGTCAATAGTAAAAATCGCAAGAATCTAATCATTATTAAGAATTTGATCTGTTCATCTAGTTGAGTTGGGAGAAGTTCGAGAAATGGTTGACTATTAGCGATGCAAAGCTTTATATTAATTTTTGGGACGAAGTAGTCGATAAGAGCTAACGCGGAAGGAAGGCCGGATCGGCGCACGGTTGCCTGTTACTATAAATATTTCATGTTAATCGATATACGTGCACACGGAAGTGTGTCATGCACGTTGTCCTATGACTCGACACAATGCTCCACATACGATCGTCGAACGACCTCGCGAAACGGAAGCTGAACATTCGCATCATCCCCCCCATTGTCCCCCTCGTTCGTTCGCTGCTCGTATCGTTTTAATAAAATACGTAAAATAATACGTACATACGCATCGATCGTCGAAGAGCCTGAACAAGTTCACATCTAATGATAAAACTGTACATTGGAATATTGATAAGAATGTTTAAAAATGTATGTTTGATGGGAATGGGATAATGAATTTTTTATATTTATCTGTGTCAGGACGGGAATAATAAAGTTGAAAAGTACACCGGCTGTTTGCATTAAACATTCGCGGACGTGGTCGATGCTCGAAAATTTACAAGCCTGAGCTCGGAAAAAAGGAATGTACGGAGAACAGGATGAATTATTTTATGCGACTCCATGTGTCATTCTTCGAGCGCACTGCTACGCTGTAAATCTTCATTTCCACCGACCGTTTTCTCTCTTTTTGTGAAACTCAGCTCGAGGATAACGAACCCTCTTTTTTTTTTAAATAGAACAAACCTTTTAGACTCTGATCATATTTTATTTGGAAATGAACGAAAGGCGGAAAACCAGAGATAAGGTAGGCGACATTCGCTGCAGAAGGGAAAAGGACCACACGGTTATCAAAATTGCAGGGGGCCAAATATTGGCTGGACAATGTGAAAACGAATGGGAAGGGGGCGATACTTTTTTCCGTTGTTTTGGGCGGTCGTGGGTGGACACGCAGTGACTTGTTTTCCATCCCCTGCGTCAGCGTGCAGCGTGACGTACGCGAGTCCAGTTCTCTTTTTAATCGCGTGTGACCTACATACTTACCCGTGGCACGTCTTTTGTTTACTCGCGCGTAGTACATTCGGGTTTCGATAATTCTGCCGTTCAATTCAACATGTCGTTTAAGGATGTATTGGTTATATAGTCATTACCAAAAGTTTATGTACCTTAGAAAAACGCATGTCCCATAATTAAAAATAGTGCACTTTTCTTCTAATTTCGATATTTAATGAGTTACATATGATTATATGGCATTTTATTGATGTTGACAAAATCCGACCATCCCAGCATCGAAACAG